GATTCGACGATGACTTATAAATATATTTCGAAACTATTATGATTTGCTTATCTATCAATATTTACAATAGACCGACATTTACCTGTTGTATTTCAGTGTCATTTTGCATTTATGATTGTGTAGAGTTAATACACATTATAAAGTGAGGTCACCTGAGAAAACGCCAACTAAACTGATCTTCGATACAAGAGGGTCGTTCGGCAAGGGGTATTTTCGTAAGTTGTAATCAATTGTTTTTTACTTTACTTGTACAAAGATCTTATCTTATTTCGTACGCAATTTCCAATTTTGCTTCTTAATCACAAATTACCAAGTATATTATAAAAATGTAAAATGTAATTAAGAATTTGCTTTATCTGTAAAGTGTGAAAAAAACTATTTTTTTACGGTAAATGGAACTTTCTATTTTATTTCCTGGAAAAACGTAAAATGCATTTTTTTTATTTCCTGTAACCTATACCAGCTATCCCCCTTGCCCACCCCTCATTCAATGAGAAATTAGGCAGGCATCACACATACTTGATACCATGGAAACAGTTAATCGCAATATGGAAATCAGAAAGATGGAATCGTATGTTAATGTGCTTGAATATTACAATTGCAGTCGTTGCATTCCATGTGGATGATTTGTTTTCTAGAACAATTCAACCGAAACAAGAATGTACAGAACATGGGGGTTGTATACTTAGAGGGCGTATACGGATATGTGAGTGTAATTATTCATAATGTGTTTGTTTTTCAATCAATTATTTGTAAACCCGTGGTTGTTTAGTAACCACCCGTGTCGTTATAATGTAACACAATACTGTTATTACATGTACAGTTATTTGTAATTTGGTAATACATTGAATGCAGATACAGGTATGAATACATAGCCGCGTGTTTTTCGATAGTTCATATTGCTGGAGGCCATATATATCAAGACAGCAATAATAACTCTCCAATGTTTACTGGCAACATAACACGTTGCAAAATCTGCATAAATGTCAATGCATTGTCGATTGCATAGCGCACCTCTGTCTGTGTATGTAGTAGACAAGACATCTCCTGCTGGTTTCAATGGCGCCGCGTGGTCCGAGCACGTCATCAGTTCCGGCATTTTGTCCGAATACGTCACCAGTCCCGGCATTCTGTTTGTAGCCATTGGTTACCATCAAACATTTTCTATCTATTTAGACAACATAACAAATGCATAGGGACTGTACATTAAACTATTTGTCTAAAATCTATTGCTGTAATACGACGACTGGAAAACCTTGGTGCAAATTGTGGTATGCACGATACATGCGCTTCGTGAACCGATTGCGACCGAGTCTGCAACTAAATATGTCACACATACCACAAATCGAAACATGGTCTAAGACATTGGTAGTTGAAATACATTAAAAACCATCCCACATTCCAACTGAAGTTTGTAAAATCAGATGCTTGCAGTATATGTTGACATATTGTTCCCGTTCAATGTATTTAAAGTTTCATTCTCCACTTGACTTTCCCAATTTGGCGTTTTTTCACAATTAGTACATTTTAACCGTTCGATTAGAAATATGTGCATCTAGAGTAAATCACATATGATGAAGTGGTACTACATTGACAAAGAAACGATAGGTGCCAGTCAACAAAGCATGCAGCCGCTATAGTTAGTAGCTGTGACTCGACGCACCTGCAGTGCCACTGACCATGTTCCACACTGTACATGCTCACATCTTCAATATTAGAAACTGACAAAATAAGGTCCTAATAGGTAATTATACTCTCATATGGTATATTGTAGATAGTATTTGGTAATAAGTAACTATTAAAAATAGCTAGACTATTAGAGCAATGGCTCTTTATCGTCAGCATAGGTAATACGAGTACATTCATACGGGGTATGTCTGTTGAATATTATACCCGTATGTACAAATGTATTTAACGGATGAGCGGATATCACCAACAGTATTCCTTTTTATGATCGCGTACTCTCCCATATTGAACTATACGGCTATGACCGAGCCGATTTTTTTTTTTTTTGATCTCCATTTTTAAGATTTCCATTTATTTTGGCAGAATGTTGGTTATTTACGCCAATTTTTTAGTCAAAAACACCCCAAAGTGCCCGATCGTTTGGACCCACTGGCAGTTATCAACTGGCTGAGAGAAATTTTCACTGCGAAAAAATTTCGCAATTTTAACTGTCTTGCAAAAAATTGTCTTAAAACGGTTTGGACTATGTGAGATTCAAGTGAAAATTACAGCGTTAATATTTTCTTTCAATACAATACAATACAATACAATATCCGCTTTGGTAATTGTTGTGGTACTCCCTGGTTTCGTGACATTAGTCGTGTCAGAGGATTTTGTTCTCATGGTGGATATCAGTCTACACACACAAACACTGATTTGCCACCCTCTTGGCTTGTCATTTTCCTCAACACACTGATCGCGCGGGTGAACGCGGTGCTTTTCAGCGCTCCCGGTTTGTTACAGGTTTGGCCTCATGGCTTAGTAGTGTCGGTTTTCAGCTTTAAAACATATTTTTTATGTCCTGGGTACGACGTTAAAATTGCATCCGGTTGCGGAGTTTTTGTACTCGGGAGAATGAGGTTACCCTTTGCCGCAACTACCTCCAGGTCACCCTTGGGCAAGGTGTAGCACCTGTGAGCCTTGGGTGCCAACTTCCCACATAACAAGTTCGGTTGACGTCAGTAAGGGCATACGGTCGTAAAACTCCTGCACAAATAGATCCGCACAGGTGGACAATTTTTCATGTAAATATGTAGATATTAGTTTCAGTTGTACTTAGCATTTGGCAGGGGGGATCGTAACCTCTTGTGGTGACAACCAGTGTGACTGGCCTGCCAACGGGGTGCTAAGGATTTCATTGGAAAAGTTATCAGTTACATCCGTTAATGTAATTTCGTTTTACATACCCGTAAATCAAAAATCACAATACGACATGCAATACAATACGACATGCAATACAATACGACATGCAATACAACACGGCTTGCAATGCAACGCGACCTGCAATACAACACGACTTGCAATACAACACGACCTACAGTCCAATACAATACAACACGGCTTGCATTGCAACACGTCATACAAAACAACACGGCTTGTATAACACGGTCATTTGTGGCGATGTGTCATAGTTTGTGTGGTATCGCGAGTTCAACGATGGGTAGAAGCTAGTAGAAAACAAACACAGAAATAAGCAAACCCTAACCCGTGACAGTCCTGGCAATGTTATGCTTTATTTCCTTTTGACACGGGTTGCGATTTGAAACATTCTCAGAGTCCACCTACATGTGTAAGCCAGTATTACTAGAATATATAGAGTTCTAACAAGTAGCGCACATACTTATACTAATTGCCTGTAAGTAAACTTCAATGTTGACACTACTCGTTATTGGTATGTATCTATTACAAGATGCGTATACTTGAGATCAAGTGATTTGTAAATCAAGTAAATAAATTTACTGCACTGGGTAGTCTTGACAACCTCAGGACATGCACCATTATTTGCAAGGATAGGAAACTTGGCAATTAACAATTGGCAATTAGAAATTAGAAATTATTACGTCAAACAATTGATGTATTGTTCATAAATCTTAGCGACATACTTGTCGCAAGATGTCATTGATGCCATTTAATCTTCGGAATTTCATCGTTGCTACTTTGACAAAAGTATTTCTGAGTAAACCGAGCCACTATTTCACGATTACTAGGTGTGTTCGGTACATCGTGAAACAATGCTTTGAGAAATACCTAGAGTGCCAGGTTAAAATCTCCATATTTTGAAGGAGGTCAGTTACTTATTTCCACTCACTATCGCATCAGTGACAGGTACGACCGGATTCTTGCGATCGTTAACTTACTTGTTCTTGTGATATTCACTGGGGCGTCTATCCGCACTTCAGTGAACACGTTTGTATGTGAAGCGAAACACTATTATTAACTACTCCTATGCGTTGAAAAGAAGGTATGCGAAGGTCAGGCTGAAATAAGACAAGACCAAGCCTGTATTTATACATTTAGAAATAAGATGACATAAAAGCATGCATTTTATTTCCCATACAAACTTTAACTAACTTGAAAAGGTTCATTACTCAACGAAATACACTATCTGGCTTTGCAACACATACAATCATATACCATTAGGTACTAGTATCACAAACTTATCTATTTTAGGTTAGAGGTTAAATAACAAACATCCTTATAAAGGGGCGTGTGGTTCTTTTTTAAATAATGGGTTGTGGTACGTCTGGCATCTATATACTTTATTCGACGTCAAAACCTAGTCGATGCTATTTTTTACTCCACACACTGTGCAATTCGTCCTAAATACATTGACAGTATGTGATTAACTGTAATTGCACATTACCTTTTTGAAGGTGTTATTCAAATATTGCGAGTAAGATCGAAGGTGCTGTTCAATTTTGTTGAACGGGTGACCCCTGTCACACGATTTCTTTAAATATTTGGTAAAACCAGTAACGCCCCACTAATTTAAATAATGATTATAATCATATCGCATACAGTAGTTCTGCATAAGTTCCACATAAGTTCCACATATTAGTATATATTAAATACAATTACGATTTTATTTTTTTCATGTAAGTGTGATATACAATTCTGAAACAATCCTACATCAGTTGCTTGTATAAATCATGGAGGTAACTTTTTACCTCCCGTATAAATAAATGAGTACACATGTCATAAGTCAATTAACTTCTTGCTAGTATACACTATATATTACCCCGTATATACCACAGGGTATAATACAAGCTTGTGCTTCGGAATGCGTCTGTTTATTATTATGGTTTTTATAGTACATGCATCTCATCTGATATCTGCGAATATGTTCTTTAAACCAATCTTATATCGAATAGTTTTAATCGCCATTTTGAAAACGGTACTGCCAAGGTACTGCGAGCCGACTGCAAAATACCCAGATGTTCCTGCAATCAATAAAATAAACGTGCATATAGCAATTATTTCCATTTTATATCCAGGTCGAATTAATCTAATCACTTGTAACTGTGACGACGGCCAGTGCAATGGGGGTACAATTTGCGATTCAACGTATTCATGTTACACTCTCTGGGAACTACAGCCCGACGACACCGCCACTTTCACTCGTGGATGTCTAGACTACGGCCAAACCGTCACCAGGTGCGGAGTTGATTCTCCTGAGGTGAGTACTGTTTATTTTTTTAATCGAAAAATAAGTCGAAACCTGCTTTTCACGTTAAAAATAAAACAAAATAACAAATCACTGGATAAAACCTAATTGCTTCATTATTGTGAAGTGTGATGTATGACGTTGTAGTACGCATACGCCCTCGTGAGAATCACGATTCATTTCTTTTGTTTTTATCTACGCGCGAGATAATGTTTAAAATGGCGTTTTGTGCGTGAGAGTGTGAATGTTACATTGTAAATCATGTAAATGTATCTCTGGTTCAATACATTGTCATCAAGTTATCGGCGATGGCGTAACTAACTGATATATTTGTGAAGCAAGCCTTCACAATTTGAAAAAGCAGAATGTCGAATTTCATTGCAATGCACACTTTTCACGTTTTCAGCCCATTATGTGCTGCAGTCAAGGACTGTGCAACGACAAAGATCCTTTCCCAGCTGATCCAAGTCTCATTCCAACTGGAGGTAAGATGCTACAAACACTAATCATAACGTACACAGCCTCCTGCACAGATACGTACTATCACCGCTGGTTGTAGTTGGCTATCAGAGTACAGTATGTAGTGAAGACGGGGGGGGGGGGGTATTAAGAAAACTATAGCTTTTTCAATTGTCTGGAAAAACAGAATATTCAGATTAGCACTCCAGTGAAATAGTTGGTCAGTTACCAAGCAACAAGGCTATAAATATGGACTTTAAACCGTTTAATCCTTGTTTTGAATTTACATAATTTGATAATGGTGTGTGGGAATTAAATTATGTGAATATTGCTGTGACTGCATTTCACTGCTACAAAATACAACATAAATTTTGCAAAATACATGACAATTTTTCTTGTAAAATTATAAAAGTTTCACAATAAATCATTTGTTGTTTTACTTATTTTTACTTTTATCATTGTCTTCTAATTTATTATTTCATTTAATAAGCAAAATAGTCAATTATGAGTGAAAATATATAAATAAGGTGGAAATTAATACTTAAGATATGAAAACACGGAGATTGTGGAACAATTCAAGTTTTGATTTTATTTTTAACTGTTTATTATCATCTTTACAGAGTGTGACACAGACCCTTGCTTGAATGGCGGCACGTGTGTACAGCTAGTGGGTCGAATAATATGCCAGTGTACAGACAATTATTTTGGCTCCAACTGCCAAGATTTTATGAGTAAGTAAAAATAATATATCCGATCTTGATGTTACTGGTAAATGTTACATCAGTCTCCATTGACCTTTGTGTGTGATTGTGGCTGTGTTCGTATCTGTATCTCAGACAAGAAATATCTCTGGCCTATCACGTTTAAACTACATCATGCCACACATATGCATATGATAAAATTCAATATGGCTGAATGGTGGCCATTTTAATGTTAAAAATGTATCAAACTGGAGCATTTCTGCAATTTGTGATCTTGATTTTAGTCATGTATGGAGAGATTTTGTTCAAACTTGTAAATTGAACATTAAGACCTTGATGCACATGATTTTGGATTTTCAGATTGCAATTCTGGAGCTATATCTCTGACAAGCTTTGATCATTCATTTATATATAATTGTATTTTTTAAACTGATAACTGGTAGGAACTATATAATGTAATTACTCTATTTAATTATTACAGGAAGCTCTCCCACATGTACTACTGGCAGCTTTCATGGAGTGACTGGAGGTGAAATCTTTTCACCTGGGTATCCAGGTCAATATGCAGACCGAGATGCGTGTTATTCTGTGATCACCTACCCTGGTGCATTTAGCATTAAACTTACTTTCCATATGTTGGATTTGGAGTCAGGAAAGGATTACTTGGATATTGGTACTGGTCCAACACCAGACCCAGCCAATGCCATGTATACATATATGGATAGATATCCCACTCCACCAGATCCTATTATAATTGAGTCTGATGTCGTATGGCTCAGTTTTGAGGCAGATTTCAACGTCCCAGCTAATGGCTACCACATCAGTTTTAGTATTGGTAAGATCATTATCCTTTGGTTCAAGGGAAAATTTAAAACAATGATGCTGTTTTAATTCTTTTTCTGCAGTTTGCACAATAGTCTTAATCATCATGGGGTCTAAAGCTTGTTTCCTGATGTAGCACTCTGGAAATCAGTCATAGACAAGTTTTCCAGCTAAAAAAATTCTCGCAGTATGTGATATAGAACATGTAGTAATGAAATCTATAATAATTTATTGATAAGTTTACAGGACACTATGAACAATATGACAGACACATCAAAGATTTGATAATGTAGATTCATTATGCTACTAATATTTGTTATAATTATAACCCTCTTTAGATTCAAACGACTGTGACCAAGATCCACCTCCGTGTCCTGCTGGACAACTCTGTCTTGATGGCCAGTACGGACCTACGTGTGTGGGTAAGTGAGATAACATAATGTGATGTATATCAGTACAAACCAACTGCAAATGCAATATCATTCATGTTTAATTATGTGTGTGATGTTTTTGGGACTACATTATTGCATTACATACTTTTGTAATGGTGTTATATGTCACCTGATCACCAGAGTGTAAGTAGTGCCATTAGTGTAACTGAAAATGGCGGAATAAACAAGAAGTTAAACTTGAAATCGCTCTGGTTTCTTTGATATTTTGTGTGTTCCTGAGTCAACACATCACAATGCGTGAGACAACTTTGTACGACTGAACGCATGCCTGTTAAGTTGATATAAATATGATGGATTTCTTTTCTGAATCATGACATTATGTTATTTATTATAAGGCCAAAAAATTGTTTCTGATCAAAAGTTTCTTAAAATAATTCCGCAGTGATGTGTTTTTTTTATAAGAAACTTCAAGTTGATCTGCACATGTGCGACAAAAGTCAGGCACATTTGCCCTCCTTTTTTTTTAAGTTCAAGTTTTAAGTAAAAGAAAAAACTTAGAGTACTGCCTTTGGAACTGATGTGTTCTAACTTTTAAGGGGCTAACAGTTTGTGATGATTTAATCTCTGATTAATGTTATACACTACCAGTTTGTCATAGGCAAGTCAAATGAATTATTGACTTGGCTTTATAAAATTACTTTCATTCAATTTCTATTGATTATGCCAAGAGGTACTATGATGGAAAATTAGTCCTAATTGCCAAATAGTTAACATGGCAAATACACTGTATATACATGATACAATCTTTCATTGATCATCAATTTTATGTTTTACTTTATAGATATTGATGAATGTTGGAGTTCCCCTTGTCTAAATGGTGGTGCTTGTACCAATGTTGATAACGGATTTATTTGTGTATGTCCAGAAGGATACGATGGGAATACCTGTGAGATACGTGAGTACATACACATCCCTACTTTAAGAAAACATGGTTTGTTTTATTACATTAACTATTATAGGGGTATGATGCTGAAGAGGTCAGCTGGAAATATTGCACTAGTAGAAGAGCATCGTGTAAATGACAGAGATGAGTCTGTGATCAAAGTTGGGTATTTTTTATTGATTTAACACAAAATGTGCTTCTAATAGAGCAAATACAGTAGTACTTAAACTGAATTATCTTCTCTCTACATCCGCATCAGTTAATATTAGTCTCTTAGTTTAACTATTCTTGTGTTGATGCCAAGTGTCACCTGTAATGATTTTTAATGCATTATTTCATTGTAGAAATCAATCCATGTCTCAGTAATCCTTGTGGCAGTAACGGCGTATGTACCAACCTTTTGACGTCTTACACATGTTCATGTATGAATGGATTTACTGGCCCATTTTGTTTGCAAGGTAGGATGGTTTAATCTATATTACACATGAGTTGGTATCGTTCTCGTATAATGGGTCAACCTGGTCAGTTTGCTCAACGGTGCTGTAATCTTCAGAATTTCGCAATTAGCAGCCTCTTATATACACCTCACATAACAACCCCTTGTATAAACCTCAGCATAACAACCTCTTGTATACATGTCAGCATAACAACCTCTTGTATAAACCTCAGAACAACAACTCTTGTATAAACCTCAGAACAACAACCTTTTGTATACACCTCAGGATAACAACCTCTTGTATACACCTCAGCATAACAACCTCTTGTATAAACCTTAGAACAACAACTCTTGTATAAACCTCAGCACAACAACCTCTTGTATACGCGTCAGCACAACAATCTCTTGTATACACCTCGTCATAACACCTTCTTGTATACACCTTAGCATAACAACCTCTTGTATAAACCTCAGCATAACAACCTTTTTTAAACACCTCAGCATAACAACCTCTTGTATAAACCTCAGCATAACAACCTCTTGTATAAACCTCAGCGTAACAACCTTGATTGATAAAATGGTCCATAGCAAATGTTTTCTATTACAATATACCCTTGTATCACTTCAAACCTTGACATTATTATAACCATTATACATGTATAACTACCTATTACCCTATACAGTAAACATGAGGTTGTTATTTCTTTGGGTTTTGCTGATTTATGCATTGCACCAAGTCATTAGAATATCAGTATTTCATAGTGTATTGCAGTATAGGATTTTTTTTTCATTCAATGTTTTTCTGGTTTTCAGATTTAAACGAATGTTCCAGTGATCCATGTCAGAATGGTGGCACTTGTAATAATCTACAAAACATGTACCAGTGTATATGTCTACCGGGGTATACAGGAATTAACTGTCAAATCAGTAAGTCATTGCTGTGATGCATTGTCTATTACGTACTGTTTTGTAAACGCCATATCAACATATCCCTACCAATCTGTGTTGTTTTTTTACCAAGAGGTGGTGTATTTGTCAATGGTAAAATACATAGATCTGTTTTCATCTGAGTTTCTGTAGCTTATTGGCAGTGGAGATGAAACAAAAAAGCAGGAGGTTGACTTGATAAAAAAAAGACGCACTTTCAAATACACTGGCTGAACAGAATCTGAGAAGATGGCTGAATAACCTTGACCATGACTGATTTATTCATCACCATCCTGCCTAATTTAACTCATCAGCTTTATTACAATATGTGGTTATCTTTTGCTCCATCTTTATACACAATAATAATACTTAATAAATATGATGTACATGATTATTTTAACCTTCCTCTCAGATATTAATGAATGCGCAAGTAATCCGTGTCAGAATGGAGCAACGTGTATAGATGGTATTAATAGATACACATGTAACTGTCCACCTGGTTACAGTGGAGCTCACTGCACAATAGGTAAGTGTAGAGCGACCTCAATTTCCAACAATTGTAATCTTTCTTTACAGCGCCCCCACAACTTAACACATTTCTATTTTATGATAGCATGTTGCATGAATTGTTCATATGTTCTATTATATTCCTTCACTCTTGTATTTCAATTAAGTGTTATTTTATAGAAAATGCATGCTACATTATATTTCCCATTTCATAGATATCGACGAATGTGCCAGCAATCCTTGTCCAAATGGCCAATGTAATAACAATGTTAACGGATTTGTCTGTGTCTGCAACGGTGGTTGGCTTGGCGTCACGTGTAACCAAGGTACATATGGAGACACCTTAAAAATAACAAAAAAGTAAAATCTGTTTTTACACAGCTAATTATCGATTCTTAATTATCAAATTATTTTTTATCATATTTTCGCGCATGGACAAACCAACCACCTTAACGCCATGTAACTTCATTTCTTCAGATTTAGATGAGTGTGCCAGTAATCCGTGTTTGAATGGAGCAACGTGCCTCGACCTGGAAAACCAATATGTGTGCAACTGTTTCCCTGGCTACACAGGCACACGTTGCGAGATCGGTACTCAGTCTCTCTATCTATTTCTCACTTAACACTTTGAATGCTATAATTTACCCAAACCATACTTTTGGTACTACATTTAAAATTTATTGAATTTTATATATTTTTCAACTTTTTCTTTTTTGGACCGTTAGCTGCAGAACTTATTATTATGCTAAATTATGCAGGTTTATTTTGTGACACAAGTTCATGCTTGCATTCAAAATGTTTCAGTTTGATTTTATTCATTTTATCTCTCTTTTATTCCATGCACATCTTTCCTTTCTCTTGCATAATAGTTTCTGTATTTAACAGAATTACAAATATCTGACCATGGTCCTGGGATTTGTGTGGTGTTAGGAATGTATGTTTTTTGTGTGTGAAGTTTTTATTTCAAATGCCACAACAATTCCAGAATCCTGGTTGGGTTTTATTGCACCTACATAGTAGTCAGTATTCTACTGAATGATATCACTGGCAATTCACAATGTTACAATCTCCCCATCTACAGCCCGCCATTCAATGTTGAACTTGTTCAGTACTATAATATAATTCATGTTGAAGTAAAGAAATTAAAAACACAATGTAACTTCAAAAAAAAGAATGGAATGAGTAACAAAATGTAAATGTTTCTAATAATAATAATAATAATAACTTTATTTAAATTAAGCGCAACAATTCCAACATATGAAGATCAAAGGCGCTGATACAATAAACAATCAGTCAAATATTAAAAGCACATTTAAATAAGTGCGTTTTCAGTCTGGATTTAAAAATGTCTACTGAAGGACTAGAACGAACAGACAGAGGTAATTCATTAAAAAGTTTAGGACCTAAATTTTCAAAAGCACGGTCTTTGTATAACACCTTGGACTTTTTACTACACATCTGACGAGTTTTAATAAGAAACTTCGATTCAGATCTTAAACTACGACTCGGTACATAAAATTCGATTAATTCACATAGATAATTTGAGGCAAAACCATACAAAGATTTATACACTAGTAAAAGTAATTTGAAATTGATTCTTTGTACAACTGGTAACCAATGAAGTTTAATAAAAATGTCTGTAATGTGGTCATATTTTCGAGCACGAGTGACAAGGCGGGCTGCTGCATTTTGTACACGAATAAGAGGTTTTAATGTTTGTTTGTTAAGCTGTAGGTTATGATATTGTGATATGTAAGTAGTGACAGTATTGATATGAACGTATTGCCTCCTGAAATCTCCAGACAAAAAAAATGAAGTCAGCAGGCAATATGTTAAAATAATTATTAATATGCACTTTTCTTTATCAAGCAACTGAATGTACTTTCTTGTGCACAATGATAACATTGCATCCTGTAATAATCACATTATTTTTTCTCCAAAAATAATAATTCAGAAACTTAATGTCTATCTGTCTGTCTGTCTGACGCACTGTTATTGAGTTTGAAGAGTCATGTGACAGGAATGAAACTCCATCAGCAAATGTCACATGATATCAAAATGTGTGACTAGGAATCCAACTTTGGATGAGCTGATTGCATTATATAACTAACTCTGCACTACGTTTATATATTAATATAATTCTTTGGCAGTATTTTTATAGGCTTTGGGAATAGTATCAATCTGGTTTACTTTCCCAATCAACACCCTTTTAAAAAAACACTGCTTCAGCACAAGCACTTGTCATGTAAACTGTAACTAATCTTGGTTTCACTCTGAATGTAAATATTAATTCATGTCTTAATTTTTCCTGAAGACGTTGATGAATGTGCAAGTTCACCATGTAGGAATGGAGGTCTCTGCAATGATCTGATTAACATGTACACATGTGGATGTTTACCGGGATATACAGGATACAACTGTGAGATAGGTAAGTGATAATTCAACATCTATATGTGAAGATCTGAAGGTAACAGAATTCATGAATGGAAATAAATCCAACATTTGTTACTTCTAGTATATTGATATATCAATCTCTGATATTTGACTTGAATTGTACTGCATTTACTGTATCTTTAATACTTCTACATTATATTTATTGTATTCATTATATGTACCAGTAATATGTTTGTCATACCATGTGAATAACAGTATGTGTTGATTTATCTATCATGAAACTACATCTTAACCTTTTCACCACCAATTTCCTCTTTTCATCACAAATTCACAAAATAGCCAGAAAATTGGGTAAACAAATTTTTGAGTAATTAAAAACTAAAAATTTACTCAAATTTCGCACAACTATGGTTAATTTTTATAAATATTTTAGAAAGTGCAGAAAAATTTGGGTGAGAAAGTCTGGTGGTGAAAATGTTAATTTTTTTAATTCATTTCTATTCTACTTTAGCATGTTGTATCATTTCATTGCCACCGTTTTCATATCATTCACATTTCATATCATACACAGTTGAATTGCTCTAACCAACAGAAATTAACGAATGTGAAAGCAGTCCGTGCATCCATGGCATCTGTGTCAATGATATCAATTCTTACAGCTGTGTCTGTGAACCTGGATACACAGGAGTGAATTGTGACATTGGTAAAAAAAACAGTATATTTGCAGAGTTTAATATATATGCACTTGACAATACAAAATTATGAAAATGATAAAATATATATAATAATAATGTATACTTGTATATATGTGCTAACCTGTCATCACGTTTATTTTATGTGTTATCATGCATGATACGTTTGTAAACCTATTTATTGCCTTCCCAGACATCAACGAGTGTCAAAGTTCTCCATGTGTTAATGGCATCTGTATTGATGGAATTAATTCCTATACCTGTCAATGCAATCTTGGATACACTGGTTTAAACTGTCAAATAGGTGAATAAGTTGTACTCTTTAAGTTGCACTATGCGGCAGTAACGCGATCACTTATTTAGTTGCTGTTGTTTACATATGCATATTTTAATCCTGCTGTGCGGCATTATAGCTATTACTGTTTTGCTAAATTTGTGTAATACAAAAAAGTGTTTTGTGAATTCTTTTCACAACCCTCACACAATGTACC